TCGTACTTTGCCAAGGAAGGGGCGTCGGGAATTTCTCCCACCTGACTGGCCAGGGTGAGGACCTTGAGACCAGCTCGATCCTGGCGAGCGGTGTGCTTCGCAATCTCTTGTTCCCATTGTTTCATGAGGTTGTTTGGGACAACCACCAACGATGCGTGACTGTGCAATATCTTTGTTGGTGGCGGCTCGGCCGTCAATTGGTATCGACTGCTTCGCTTAGGCGGAGCAGGTGGAACATGGTAAAAGCCAGGATTCCGTTCAATAGCAGCAATGCATTTTGGGAACTCCAGATCCTCCACGGTGCCGTATGTGTTAAAGTACGTCTTCCAGGGAGCCGCGTTTCGAGTGATGCATGAAGCCGCCATATCTGCGAGAGATGCTACCCGCTTTCTCACAGGAACGTCGTTTCCACGGTAAATCTCTGGCGTTTGGGTGGCCGAGTGCTTGGTCGCTAGAATCACAGACAGGCAGATGAGCGTCTTGCCTGCCCCCATCTGCTCGGCAAGGATGCCACCTCTGACTCCATCATAAAACCGTGGCTCTTTAAGAAGTACGCTCTGGCTGGGGTCGAAGTAGAACGTGGCGCCATTCTGGTCAATGCTCTTGAGTAGGCGGGGGTCGAGGACCTGGCCGGGCTCGCTTTCTCGCTCAATCATCAGGGCTGCTGATCGGCGCTGGTAATCATAAAGTGTCGTGGTAAGGCCAGGAACGTCGCTCTCCAGAACTGCATACGCCGCCTCACGGTCCCCGTGATTGGTGATGACGCTCGGGTTGGGGTCTGGCGAGGGCATGCTGTTGAACATCTCCAAAAGCGTGCGAGACTCATCTTCGTCGTCGAACTCCTCCTTCAAGTGATCACTGAGATTGACGGGTATATGGGCAGGCCGGCCTGACCAAGTTTGCGGTGAAAAGTCGAGGGCTGCGAAGAGTAAGCCGCGGGAGTGCTTCAGCTTATTCCGCTCACGATCGACGAGGCGCCTGTCAACGTCATCGGGCAGCATGTAGACTCTGATGATGGCAACATGATCTTGAGAGACAAAGACTTGCAACAGAATCCATCTGGCGGCCGCGAGATTCCTGAACACCGTGACGGGTTTTGACCTCAAAAGAGCCTCATCCGTGTCGTCAAAGTTCGCCAGCTGGGTGGTGCTGATGTCGGGGACCGGATCTGCTGGATTAATGTCCGCCCAGTTTCCGTAACGGTCTCGCAATCGCTTCCAAACATCGCTTTGAATACCGGAATTCTCCCTGGCGATGACCAAGCATCCCATGGGGAGGTAGTTTGATGGCGTCGACATTGGGCAAGGGAGTTGCCACCGGGGGCGCCCGGTTCGCTGAGGTATTAGGTGGTGCAAGTCATGCGGCGGAGGCCACGTAATTGCCGCTGCGAAGTTGAGATAGCCTCGATTTGATTTGATATGTATGGCCAATGTCGATGGTGAAGATAGATCTCCCAAAAAAAATAGGTACGTCGCTGACGTTTCAGTGTAAGAGGCAGAAAGTGTGAAGGTGAGGTGAAGGTTCCGAGTGGAAGCCTAGTCACAGTGAATGAGGCGACCGCTCACACAGTCTGCCTCACAGATCACGGCGCCACGCACAGTGCGGTGCATTGGCGGCCGGAACAAGGCAAGTGCAACCCAGGATCCTTCCCAACTTAAATGTATAAGTCGTGCAACCGTTGTTCTCCATCGTATAAACTCGGTGCAATAATATCAAGGTGAGAAGCTTTCCGGAGCCTAGATCAAGGTGATGGACGTGAATACTACGAGACATACACATGATTTGGTCAGAATGGAACGGATGAGAAGCGACCGCGCCAGTGGAAAGTACGTACCCAGCAATAGCGAGCGACGACATCTAGAAGAATACTGATACTTCGATCAGAAGACGGATTTCAAGGATCTTTTCACTGTCACACCTTCACCGATCGGGAGTGTCCGAGTAGCAAAACTCCATTGTATTTTACTAAATTTCCCCCAACTTCAGCCGAATTATCATGTCCACGAATTAAACCAGGAATTCAAGCTCCCCAGAGCGTAAACTCCCTTCGCCAATGTTTCATGACCCAAGTTTCCCCACCACGCATAGCCAAGAGGAGATTACCGCCGTTTCTCTTTTGCTGTCCTGCACCAAAACCCGCGCGCGAGATGCCTTTCACGGCAACGGCCGCGATATCCCAGGGAGAAGGTTTCTTAGTTCTTCTTGCCCTTGGGGGTTGAAGTGGCCTTGAAGTTAACGGCCTGGCTGGTCTTGCCCTTGGAGGCGGTGTCGGTCTTGACGTTGTTGTCGAGCTTCTTCTGCTCGGCGTCGATCTTGGCCTGGTTGCTGGCACCCTGGGCCTGCTGGACCTGCAGGGCGAGGACCTCGAGCTGGAGCTTGAGGACCTTGTTCTTGATCTTGCCGACCGAGAGGGCATCCTTGTCAGCGCCAGAGGCCTTGGCGATAGCGTCGTTGAAGCCACCGGCGTCGGTCTCGGCTCCCTCGGCGGCAACACGGGCAGCCTGGAGGATGGCGAGATCGTCCTTGCTGACGCCCGCGAGGTTGGCCTTGATCTGGTCGATCTGTTTGGTGTTAGTGGACGGTGATGGTGATGTATGACTGTTGAAAGTGACTTACGGGGAACTTCTGGGCGACCTCAGCGAGGGCGTTTCCGCCAACGCCGTCAGAGACCTGGAACTGGGAGTAGTCCTGGACGGACAAAAGCTTGGCCTGGCGGCTCTCGACGGGAGCGGAGAAGCCGGTGGCGGCAAGGGAGAAGAGAACGGCGACCTTGGTGAAGTACATTTTGTCGTTGGTGGTTGATGTCGGTGTGTTGACGAAAGGTATTGGTGAATTGTATAATATTTACAGTTTCAAGGTTATTGACCGGCAAAGAGTGAATGGGACAGCGCTGCTGTGGAATGAAGGGAATGGATATTATTGAAGATTGGATGAGATGAAGCTGATGATGAGAAGAGACAAGACAGATGATGGTCGGGGCGAGCGGGAGGATCTTATACCACGAGTTCCTATAGCCAAACCGTACTGTTGCTCCATCTGGTTGTCGCCCTGTACCCCGCGGCTTCCCTCTTCGCCCCATCCCATCATTGCTTCATCGGGCCAGTAGACCGTCTGACAGAAGGCTCATCTCAGATTCCGCGACAAACACCACCCCATATGCGGCCATGGGCCTGAGTCGTCCGAACGAGAATGAGCGGTAACAGCAGTAATACTGCCCATCGGCGTCTCATCCGAGGCCCTGATGCAACATGTGGACTGGTTCAGGTGCATCACAAGTCCCAAGGGCCATCGACGCCGGGGTCGTCCCCTGGTCAACTCGGTACGAGCAGACAAGCTTCTTTGCCAAGCGCACGATCTACGAGGAGCGTAGATTGTTCCATTGAGTGGGTCAGGGTCCAATCAGAGGTCTTGGTAGGTCTCTACGACCTTGACGAGCTCGGGGGCCGCCCGTCGGCTGCTCCATGTCCAGAGGTCGGGCAAAGCTGGAGGTTTTGGTTGTGTGCCTGTTGCGAGTTTGAAGTCTGTCGAAGATCACGGTGGATCTGCCTCATACCCCTGGCAGCTAAGCCCGATCAGGTGGGACCTGTTAGCTGCATGTCTTAAGCGTGTGGGGCCCCTTGCTGTCACTGCAGGTTTGCGCGTGGGAGAAGGGGCACTGAAAACTGAGCACTAACGGCAGGGCAGCAGCAGCACGGGGTCGAGGGAGAGCCCTGGCGCTTCACATCCCGTCTTCTTTCCTCTCCTGCATCTCATCGCCCAGCCTCTATCCCGGAGTCATTCCCGTCTTGGCCAACTCCTGTCCCCTGAGCCCGTTTCTCACCATCATCTCCAACTCCTTTCCCCACTCTTGAATTCTTTCGGATGACGAGATCCGCAAATGGTAACGGGGATGACCGAGTGCGACCGATCATGGTTACCCTCATCTCCAGAGCCATCGATAGCATGCTCGACTCAGGTCCAGAGATCGTCAATCCTAATGCCCTACTTTTGTCTTCTATTGGCCTCAAAAGCTGTAGTGAGGTCGCGCCCGCCCATGTAGACGGCAGAAGATGAGCGTGTTTCGAGTCTTGGCCCTGCATTGGCTCTGCCACTTGAACCACTTCATGCAACCCGCACTAGAGATCGGACGCACATCCTCCCGGTGAAATCTAATTCAGTTTCGGCAGCCCTCGCCCGACAGCCCGGTTCCCTGGAGGCATAGTAGAACCACTCGTTCTTAGTGGCTGCTGGGTCCTCAAAGTTGGACGACATCTCATCTCGGGACGTCAACTGAATCTTGCTCCGGGTGACAGGTGCACACATGTTCGTCGCTGGCCGACTCGAGTCGAGGAAATCAGCGCACCGGAGATGTCTCTCCCAGCGCCGCAGCACCGCACGTGTCATGAGCTTGAACGCCGAAGAGCAAGTCTTCAGCGGTCCTTCTTGCCGAAACAAACCTCTCAAGGACGCCTGACAGCTCTGCGTGCTGACTCGGACCAGCATTCAAGTTTGATCTTCCTCATACTTTACTTGGCGAAACGATGCCTGCTCTCTGTGCTCTACTCGGCGAAACGATCTCTATTTACTCATTTTGAACTCACGTAAGACCAGGGGCATGTATCATATTCCAAGTTTACGAGGTAATAGTCCAATTCAGGGTATCTGGAGCTAACATACCCACAAGCTAAAAAGCATAACCTAGTCTAGGTAATCATCAAAGGAGACCTCTTTCTTTCTTTCCCGTAACGCCATCTTTCCGTCATGTCATGTCCCAAAGGGTTCACAAAAAATGGTATCTACCAGTAGATATCCCGGGGTGGTCGAAGAGAATCTCTAAAAAGAAGAGTCAAAGCCAAATGTCGTAAATATCGTCAAAAAAAGCCGAACCCATGAAGAAAGAAAACCAGCCTCCAACTCCGTTCTGGATCGTCGTCTATCATACCGACGCCAGGTCTTTGCAGTCGTCGTGTCTAAAAGGAGAAAAAAAAGACGCACCCGCCCACCAAGTGGAGAGCATCTGCTTACTGGCTCTGGTAGACCTTGACCGAGTTGATGAGCCAGTACGCCTGGGTGAAGGCCTGCGGGTTGGCGGCGACGTAGTCGGAGCACGTCGAAGCGAGGGCCGCGCACTCGGCGTTCTGCGACCACACCTTACCGGCCCAGTCGCCGCACAGCGCGGTGTTGAAGACGAGGTTCTGCTGCTTGAAGTGCGAGGGGATGTCGCAGCCCTGGCCGCCGTTGAACTTGGCGAGCGGCTGGCCCCACGACGACGGCGTCGGGTTGCCCGAGGTCACGTCGGCCGGGATGGCGCTGCGCGGGAAGAACCAGACGGAGATGGCCTGCGAGTTGAAGTCGACCGCGTACACGCCGCCGCCGATGGCGTTGAAGCCGTCGCCGTAGTTCTGGTTGCTCGAGGTCGACTGGCCGCACCCCGTGCCGGCGTTGCCCGCGTTGCAGTCCTTCTCCTTGAGGGTCGTGGAGGAGACGGTGCCGTCGTTGGTGATGGTGCAGCCGGGGCCGGTGTGCAGCGTCACGGCGTTGGACTCTTGGGTGTTGACGCCCTCGATGATGTCAATCTCGCCAGAGTTGGGCCTGCCGCGGTTAGTTTTCCATTCTCTCTGTTTGCTGACTGTCATCACTCACCAGTTGGGACCAAACATCCAGAACGCAGGCCAGACGCCGCAGCTGCTCGTGGGCATGTGCGCAATGTCGGCGACAAACAGGCCAGAGTCGTACGCCTTGTTGGACGTGACGCGCACCGACTGGCGGCCCTGACCTGTAGTCTTGGCGTCGACGCCAAGGTAGATGCCGTTCTGCGCGAAGCCGGCGAGGCCCTTGTCGTTGGCCGTCTGCGCGCTGGTGTACGTCTGCGAGCCCTTTGTCGGGTCGGCCTGGTCGAAGAAGCTGAACTCGTGGAAGAAGTTCGTCTGGTCGTAGTTGTCGTGGAGGACGTACTTCTGCGCCTGGGCCAGCCCGGAGCAGAGGAGGGCGGCGGCGCCCAAGAGACACTTGATCTTTTGCGAAGGCATCACGATCTGTGTAATGTCGAAGAGGGAGAACGGAAGAAGGAGTCTTAGGTAATAAGAGACTTGCGTGGTTTTCGCTGGGTTTGACCGGGATGAAGGGTGTGGAAAGGTTGAGAAGAACGATTGTGTCTGAAAGGTTTGAATCAAAGGGGAGAAGTGAGAGTCAAAGAGGTCATGGAAGAGCGAGGAAAGAGAATGTTTGAATGTTTTCGGGGTTCAAGTGAGCCGACTATGACGAGGTGGTTGGCGGCACTTGGGTGACGACGTTCTCGTGAGCCAGCTACGTCGTCCTGTTCTGGATCCTGCTGGGTCCCAAAAGGGAGAGTACTTGGCGATTCGAGGTTGGTTCACACGAACAGGATCTAGACCCTCCTTCTCGTTTCCGTTTCTGTCCTTATGTCGAAAGAATGGAACACCAAAGCGACACGCACGCACAAAATGGCTGGGAGGCTATGGTATAGTTGCTTGGCTCTTCTCAACTCTTACGTCGACTCGCGAGCGATGATGAGATGGAGGAGCAGATGTGTGTCAGCTGTTTGCTGTTTGGCCTAATCGATAGGACCTGGACCGGCTTAGCGAGGATGTCCGAGATGGGACAGGCTGTGGTGTGTAAAGAAGGAGTGGGACCGTCGATGACGATAACTTCAGCCGGAGAGATTGAAACGGCTGTGCCTGCTGGGGGCTGGGCTTTGGTAAGATTGAGAGAAGAAGAAGAAGTGAAGCACCACCGAGGGTGTGAGAAAAGGAAGAGATGAAAGAAAGAAGGAAGGCTGAGGAGGGGCCTTTGCGTCGTCGTGGATACTGAGCAGCCGATGCACACGAGAAGATCATGAGCCTCAACCACATGGGGGAATGCAGCCAGCTAAATACAGTCCTCTTTGAGCAGGTGGGGACGAGGCGAGGACGAGGAGGGCCAGGCCCAAGACCAGGCCAGGCCCTTGCCCTTCGGACAAGTCTTGGGGAACATTCTTTGCGTTGCCTTGAGGAATTGTGACTGTGACTTGGCTTGACAAGGCGCCCAGAACATGGGACAGAGGGACAGAGACCGAAGGACCAATCTCGTCCGTTGTATCTGACCTATACCGGGGGGCATGTAGACGCACAAAGACATGGGCCATATCTGGGAACCATGCTGAGACTTTTTTTTTCTACTGCGAATAAACGCTCGTTTGCCTTTGGACCCCCTGCTCCTCTTCTCGGCCCAACTCCTGTGAGCCTTGATCTTGGGATGCAGACATGTGTGCGCATGCGCGGGGAGGGGTGTGTGTGGTGGATAGGACGGGGTGGTGTTGTTGAGCAGTCGACGAACGACAGGCCCGTTTCAATCTGTTTACCCGCCAAGGGCTTGTCAACTTCTTTGCAAGGGGAACCCCGAACGACGACGGAGCGAAGACGGGATGATAGGGGCTCATGGGGCTTCGAATTCGCCTCGGTGGCCGGGTGCCGAGAGGCGGCATGGTTGCACAATGCGAGTCTTTTAGTCCCGAGACGAGATCCAAGAGGTCCATGTTGCCGGTTGTCGACATGTTTTGAGTGGGTATGTGCGTGCTTTTTTGCGGTCTGGCATGGCAGTCTGGGCGAAGAAACAAAAAGTCATGTAGGTACACTGCGGATAGGCACACAATATCCGGCGACGGGAGGGGATCTTCAAGGACCCTGCCCATAGTGGGGGGAATCACTGCAGTTGGAACGAAAAAGCAGAAGAAAAAAAGGAGAAGAGCAGAACAGAAAACCGGAGACCTCCACTGCGCGAGTACCAAACAAACGCAACCAGAGCCCGTGGCCAATCGAATGGGCGTTTGTAAGGGACATGAAGGGAGAACAACGAGAGTTGGATGGCAAGACGTTTGAATGTCAGTGCCGGGTTGGTGGACAAGTCAAAGACGCTGGACTCGCCCGTTTTGAAACACGGACCATGCCAGGGGCGGGCGGGCAGCCGCCCAATGGCAGCCCTCCCGCCGCCGCGGGTCACTCTGTTCTGGAGCACGCGGCGCCCACTCGCCCTAGCGGCGGCGGCTCTCTTCACCCACCCATACACACTGTAACCACACTCACTGACTGCACGCTCTTGGGCTTCGATGGAGCATCGCATCACCTCGGCTTGGCACTGACTGGTGGTACCTTACCTACCTTAGCACGCCAACACACGCTTATGTACTCTCTCCATCTTGCATGTTCCCGACTGGAGGACCAAGAGCCCCGAACTAAGTCCCTCCCCAACCATAAGAGGCGGAAAAGATACTTGCGCCGAGCAAATGTCTTGCAGCTGTTCCTGACTGTCACTCCCTCGACTAACGCATGTTTTCCCCTGACAGGAGGGCTTGGTCTGACGGAACCTATCGCCCTGCGCCTGCGCTTGAAAAGTGTCAAAATGCCATGCCGCGCTAGACTCTCCTTCTGTCTCTCTCTGTGCCTCTGTATCTCAGTCCCCCCCTGCGCTTGACTCTCCGAACGGGCCCGCCGTCCGCTGCCGTGGCATTCTATAGTTCCCTTCGAGGGCGGGCGTCTGAAACATTATTGAGCTCCTGCCACATATAGACATCCAGCGCCACGTAAGGCATCCCATCCATCCTACAGGCTACCCCAAAAGAGGGGTGTCACAGTCGTAGTCAGGGAGGATGATGGATGAGAAGAGGGATGTGGACGCGCTGAATTGAAACATTTGCCCAACCACACTCACACACTGCGCACGATCACCTTTTTTGACACTCGCACAAACGTCGACTCAATATCATTACAACCTCGGGCCTTTACAGCGAGGTAATAAGGCAGTGCACACGGCTCACACGGACTCAACTTTACGAGGTCTTGGTGCGACTGCGGGACAGAGTCAAACATCACCACCACCCTCACTTCTCCTTGCAGCGTGGGTGCTTACGTAGCCCATGGAACATGCGTTGGTTGTGTGTGTTTGAGTCTGATGAACGGCCGCTCGCATCGCGCATCTGCCCGATGCCTCGCCCAGCTGATGTTTCTGATGTTTCTGAAACTATTTTTCTGTTCCCTCGCCGGTGCTGCAGCATGTCTATAAGCAACGATATTGGTCTTGGTATCGGGACCAGCTCAGCTCAGCTCCGCCTCATGTGTGTTCCCTCTCGCTTCGTCTCTTCCCAAGCACAGTACCCATCACGCATCCCGCCGGACGTCGTCGTCGGAGGGGGCGAAAGGACGAGAACCTTGGGATTGATAAGGCAGGGGTTGTTTGAGCTGCCCGAAGAAGGCCCTTTTCCGCTCATCATCTCTTCTCTCTGTCTCTTGCTCTCCACGGGTTTCTCCAATATCGATACCACAAAGTACCATCCAGACCTGCCCCGTCAACCCTGTACAGAGCCGGAGCTCCATGGGATGAAGCATGGGTGCATGAGAAGATCATCCCGTCGATGCGCCGGCAGCCGCACAGCATCTTTTGCCATCTCAAGTTAACCCACCCGCGGCGTGCCCCCTCCCAACGGTCTTAATCTATCTCCCGTCTTAGGACCCAGACAAGAACCAAACATTCGTCTGCCCGCCGGCCGCGGGAAGAGTCGCCTCTCTCTGCTCGGATCAAAACCTCCATGGACAGTCCAGATACCTTGGCAGGCAGTCCCCCGAGAAGGATCCTCTCGCCTCCCCCTGGTTCTGGAAGGACAAAGATCATCCCGCAGAAAAAGGGCGTATGCCATCCGAACAGCCGGCGCGCAGATCACTCTATGCGGAACCGGAGCCCCCCTTCCAGGACTCCGTGGGCCCCATCACGGCTCCACGATCTCTGCAGTGTTGGTTGGCAAACGCTTGCCGGCCGGAGTGTGAGTGCGCCTTCCACACCTGTACAGAGGCATTTTCCCGTTTGCCAACTTGCTACGTTGACAACTCGTTTACCGCAATTTTGACTCACAGAAGCGTTGTGCTGGGTCCTGAGAGGCAACACCAAGGACCAGAAAAAAAGAGTTGTCAGGGCCCGCAGCAAACAGATAACGAAGAAGAAAAATCAGGGAAAGTGTTCCCACGGCAGCGGAGCCGAATACGCGCCGCGCCACCACTGCCGCCGTGCCCTGGCCACCTTCAAACCACCAATTGGCTGCCGGCATAAAGCCGCGCAGAGAAGGTCCCCTAGATTGCGCGAGATCCCAGGTGCCGCGAGACCCTGGAGGAACCGCTCCGCAGAGCTAAGATCGTCCCATTTTACACGTGCAGAAGACCGCAATATCTGTCCCCTCAGTGACATCTTGTGTGCATACTTGCTTTGCTCTTCGCCACAGAGCAATTCCGGGATTTGCGTGTCTTGCCTCTCGCCACGAGAGCTTCTTTCGTTTACGAGAGAAGAAGAAAAAGCAAACCCCTGCAAAGTTGCTGCCCCGACCATAAGGTTACCGCAAAGGCAAAATAAACTGTCCCCTTATCGACCTCAGGGGTTGCACCTGGGCAGGGGAGGCTTGTTATCGCCACTGAGCTCTTCCTGGATGCCGCGTCTGTCACTGTCAAGGCCTGAACAAGAAAGCAGCTAGGTCCTTGGATTTACGTTAGAGTTGCCGTCTTTGCATTCGTCGATCATTTTCAGTTAGATAGACTTCCCTCACAGCGCACCCAATAGAGCACCGCCAAACAACTCTCTTCAACCTTGAACAGCTCTGGGGAGGAAGAGCCTCCGCCGTTTCACCTTCATATACGACACTGCGACAAAACTCCAGAATACTGGAGCTGCTTCACGTCATTCAACTTCCTTTGGTTGAACACTTGAACAGTTCTGATTTGAACGCCACTAAAATGCAATCTACCTGTGCCACAAGCCAAGGAGCCGGCGTCAGCTCTTGATGCCAGTAAAATCCAAAGAGGCTCTGCTCTGCCAATGCACGCGTTCTGCGCTGCCATGATGTACAACATCTAGTAGTGTAACGACCAACGTGCACCATCGTCGAATAATAAAAAAACAGATGACCGTGTTGTACATCCCATCAGAAATCGTATCCGATACTCCTGCCATCGTCAACTCCCTCCTTTTTAAATACCGCAATGTCCATATAGCCAATCGTACTGCCCCCGTCTCGTTGTTCACATTGCTCACGACGTTTGCACATCAGAGACTCCGAGATGCCGGGCTTCGCATGCGTATTCTGTGGTATACAAGATGGGTGTCCCCATCGATAAGCAGTTTGCCGGAAGAGAAACACGGTCGACCAGCCGCTATTAGGTGGTCCAGGTAAGGACGCGAAATGACGCATCTGGACCTCGTCTTTTTAATTCGTGAGGAACCTCAAAGCTTGACCTTCTGGCCAGTGAGCTTGTACCAGATGACGGCCACGAGATCCTCCTTGAAGCGCTCCCAGGGATTGCGGTTCAGGTAATAGCTGAGCTCGCGGTAGTTGTACATCTCTCCCCAGCAGTCGCGGCCCCATTCGCATCCCGCCATGTTGACGACAAAGTCGCGATCCTTCTGGTCATAGTGAATGCGGGTGTCGTTGCCATTCTCGGAGCATGCGCCGGGCGGGAAGCTGTTAATCATGCGCTGGGGGAGGAACGCGGTGTGCTTGCGGATCCAGGGCTGAGTTGTGTACATCTGCTCCAACGCATCTTGCTCCTTGTGCTCCCACTCCATGTGCTTCTGCTCATAGGCGACCGGGTCCCACCAAATGTCCAGCATGCGATCAGCCCAGGCACTCCGTCTCACGAAGAAGGAGCCGAGGTTGAAGCCTGAGCAGTCCTGGGAGAGAATCAGATTGACAGAGTCGGACTTTCCGTCGCCAACAGGGCTTCGCGATTCTTCGTCGAGGTACGGATCGGTGAAGGGATGCGAGATGTTCAGCGGGTTGTACTCGTTGATGTCGCGGTAGACATGCTTGCTGATGTCGTTGAAAATGTGGTTCTGCAGGGGTAAGGAAAGCTCCATAACGTATGTGTTCAAGTCCAGCCACCAAACCCTGTGACGACTTGTCAGCTTGTGTTCACGTCATTTTCGTGATAAACCTACCACTCAGCCTTGGGGTATTTGCGGAAAGCGTGGCGAACGAAGTCGACTTTCTCCCAGCTCTCGCGCCATTCGTGAGCATAACGCTTCTTGGTGCTCATGTCGACAATCTCGAGATCGTATCCCCATCGGTATGCGTATTTCTTCTTGTTCCGCACGCTGTCTCGTTCAATGGCCCATTCGCGGGCTCCCTTCCACTCCATGACTCCGCCACCAATGTTCGCAGCCAGGATAATGACGTACTTCTCTCCGCCGCCCATCTTTCTTCGCCAATGGTGGACCAGGGCTGTTTATAGGTTAGCAACGGGGGAAGATGATTTTAGAAGGGCTCTGACCTGGCGTACGAGTTGTGTAGAAAATGGTGATTGAGAGCAGCAGGATGAAGAGGAGCAGCAGCCGCACTTTCATCTTCCTCCCCATGCGCGCAAAGACGCTCCGTATCCTCCCCGTCAAGGGAACCTTTTGCGCGCCCCATTGTGGTCTGCCCAGCTTCTCCTTCTCGGCGTACGGGGTCTGGTTGTTGAATCGTGGCAGGCTGCTCGATATGCGGCGCATGTGTCGTGTGAAGAAGCCCTGGTTCTGGGTGGAAAAGGAGGGATAGCCGTTCATGCCGCTTGGAGACCTCATCTTGGCGGTGTCCCAGGGTGTCGAGGCGCCGTTGGAAGCTGAGAAGCCTTTGCTTGGAGTCGTTCGGCCGCTGGTGTTAATGGTCAAGCCAGGGCTGGCCCAACCACCTCCAGGTATAGGAGACGGGCTGCGGGAGAGGGACATTCCTGCGGTATTGGGGGTGCCTGCAGCGTTGAAAGAACACGAGAAGTCAGCAAGCGGGTCCTGTCATTTGGCTGTCCAACCCGTATTTGCGTCGGTGGCATGTCGGTGACGGGGGTGGTCAGGAAACAAAGAGATGGGAAGCATGGAGGTGTGCCACGGGCTGGAATGTGGATTGTGTGGTTTGTGGGCGAGGATGCAGACACAGCAAGGTGCATACACAGATACAGATGCGGACACAGGATCGGGGGGCATGTCATAGCAAGGCGAGGCGAGGCGACGTACCTGGGATCGGGGCGAGAGCAGGCGGTTGGCCGTGTCCGTGGCCTTGAACCCCCAGGAATTGAGGAGAGCCACGGTCAGGCCCGTCGACGGTGACAGCAAGGCCGCTTGAGGCAGAAGAGCGCCGCCGGTGATGTGAGCGGGTTGGCCTTCGATCGCTGAAGGACGAAGAGGCGGCGAAGGGCTGTGAGGGATCCAGACTGAAGAATTGATGGGGGTTGTGACCAGATGGCACTCGAGCCGTCTGGTTACAACACACAATGAAGGATTGATGGACGAGATAGACTCGCTAAATGTAGGTAGGGGACCTAAGGGGGTCTCCGTATCCGAAAAAGGGGAGGGGGTCCTCGTGGGCAAGGGACGGACGGGAGAGTGAGTCTGAGTGTCGTCCTGCAGTGGTAGCGCGGTGCGTGTGCCTGATGCCGGCAGAGTAACTTTTGGCGGGGGAGAGTGAGGCTGTACTGCTGTCCTGATGCCGGGAAGGTGCTATGCGCGAAGACACCAAAACGTAAAAGCAAGGCCTAGGCCGTGAGGGATATGGTGGTATCGGTGGTTCTGGTGGTTCTGGGCGACGACGCTGTCCAGTCGGCTGCGTTGATATTACGGGACGGGGGAACAAACAGGAGAAGGAAAAAATTATTAGGGAGGAGGAGCAGGGTGAGAGTGGAGGAAAGTCGTCTCCAGGCTGGGGGGGGTATGGTTCTTTGCTGGCAATGGAATCCGGGCGACTGGGGACAGAGAAGAACGCGGTGCTGGTGGTGGCTGCAGCGAACTGGCCTCCTGCTGCCACTGGCACTTGCACCTGGGGGGGTTTCCAGTGGAGTGGAGGGGACGGAGTAGCTGTGAGGTCACTGACACCGGGGGGGACAGGGACAGGTGCCAACTCGGGAAAGAGGAGAGAAGAGGAAGAGAAATGCAGATGCAGTCAGCCAGACGAAAAAAAAAAGGACCACGGGGGCTTTTGCACATGCAAAGCGCTGACTCCTGTGACTCCAGGAAGGGAAGAAGAACGCCCGCCTTTTGTGTGATTATTTGTTTTCCAGTCTCGTATCTGCAAAAGGAATGGGCAAACGGGCAAATAAAATAAGGGAGCCCTTCCACCCCCCTTCTCTCTAGACTCTGTCTCTCAGGTGCAGAGCGTGCCTGGACCCAACCTCACTTTGGTAAGGTTTTTTTTCTTTCCCTTTTTCTCTCTCGTGGTGCCAGCCGTTCTGCTGCGTCTAATCTTTTTTCGGACGGTAGGGTCTCCTGGCCGCCAAGATGCGGTGGACCGCTGACATTACATCAGGCGCTCATGCGTCGTCACAGTCGAGACGGAGACGTAAGTAGATGACACATGGCTTCGACGCCCAGTTTGATATTAGGGACGGGTCTCAGGTACCTGGAGGGTGGCCGCGTTCGAGAAGAATAAACTCTCTGTCACCTTATTCGGACTTTCCAGCATACAAGTAGAAAGCCAGGGCGCGATTGCCGTCATCTGATTATTGTCCCGCGAGCTATGCCATCACCTAGTATCTCCTTATCTATAAAAAACAATGTTTGCAGATCGGATTCATATTGACTGAGCGATATGTTACGAATATCGACCGCAAAAGGGAGGTGAGGAAACGGGCGAAATGACCAGACGAGATTGCGAACCGAACGATACTGACACCCAGGGATGACTTGATTGATAGCGCAATTGGACTGGCTGAGGTAAGGAGGTCGGAGAAGTAATACAGACAGCAACTTGCAAGTCAAGACACGAACGACTGGCCCTGCACCTCAGCAATTCGACTCAATTGAAGGATCACTATTGGAGCGCCGAGAGATCTCGCATGCGCTGAGCTGAGATGCTAGTGGTCGTGAAATGCCACTGGGCTGCCACTCGTCGTTAGCGCCCTGCATGGCAAGAATCGCGCAGCCATCACGACGCCTATGTGAGGTTGTAGTCAGCACATGCGTAAGACACGGAAGAGGATACGGCCATCGGCCGTTTTGTCTCGTGTCGGGCGCGGCCTCGCGATGTGCTTGGAAGGCGACAGCGAGGCCAAAAGACGAACGACTCGACAGTGTTGCGCCATTGCACCTCCAAACAAAGTAGTTCTTGACGTGTTTGATCCTCCCGGTAGAGATTGCATTCTAGATCGAAGCGGAGCCAACCCCTCCTCTCGCCCTGCCATCCCTCAAGTCTGGGCCGCATTTTAAATTAACAACGCTGTTCCGGTGACACCATCAAAGTTCAGACCTGGCCCTCCCGGTCTCGCAAACTGCGAGGTCGAGGGCGTCGGGACAATTCGAGTGTTCCGGGCCAATGCTTAAACCAACAGCCTATTGTCACCTTGTTCAAATTGAATTCCGCTGACTGTAAAAGACGGCGACGCCGAGAACACGTCCCGACAACAAAACACCCTTCGACCGGCCTTCCATGGCATTGTTGAGAACAAAGACATTTGAGCAATCTCAAACGCTCCAGTGCTGTTTTCTCTGTGTTGCCTCGTAGACGGCAACTTTTGCCAATTTATCCGTCGAACCCGTTGCGAGGCACCTTGTGCACAGCCACTTATGCTGCTGTCCGCCTGCCCAGCACCTGAGACCGGACATGTCGGGTCCTCCCTCACCATCACCAGCCAAGACAGGTCCCAAGGCCGCGGGAATTAACGACGCATTCGGTTGGCACGTAGACGCAGGTGTCTGTCCACAGAATGAGATGGGGGACGGCGAGTCTGTGGCTCTGTCACGTACGTGCCGTCCGAAGAAGCTCCAGCCGGCTAGACGTGGTACTGGAGAGTCGCGGACTCGAGCACTTGTGATGCCGATGCCTCGTACGGAAGCGCTGTCAATTTGCATCCTGTTGCGACTCAATTGCCCCCACGCCATCTGAATACTTGGCAGGAGAACTGACGTGCGTCGAGGAGTTGACAAGTCAACAACGAGCTAGACCCCTTGCTCATGAGCTGCGACATGTTCCTTAGAGACCTGTGTCTTCCTCAGACACTGTATGAGGTTAGGTTCGTTCGCCGCGTACGCCATTCCTCCCGCCCAACGGAAAGACGTTGTGTCCGCTTCGGAAATCCGTTGTGAGACTGCCGACGATGCGAAGATGGCCTTTGTTGGCTTCCGAAATCCGACTGTCAGCTTGACCTGCAGATCTAGAGGCAAAGAAATATGTAGGCAAGGGGCTAAGGGAGGCACAACTCGGCCGGGAGAGCGGCAGCCTCCCGAGTGTTCTCGAGACCTGTCTCGGCCCCCACTGCGCCGGTAGGAACACCACCTCAGGAGAAGGGGGGATTCCGTCCGCCGTAGGCATGCAGCGGTTGCATTAGGTAAGAACCTAAGTGGAAGGTTATGTCAGCTGCAACTCCAACAGGCCCAGTTCAATCGAACGTTCCCGGCAACCGTGCACGAGCCATTTGATTCATCGCGCCTTCCCAATAAACAACTTCAGTTCAATTTTTGGCAACGCAATATCGCCCAACTTGCCTCCTCCAGGCAATGATTTGACCACGCGAGACGAGTTGCTGGCAAGCTCAGTCGAGCGTTGCATGCCGCAGAGCCATGCAGACGGCCACTAACCGCGGCCAATTGACTGGCCAGCAGCGCGGTCGCTTGTGCAGGCCCGAGAGCTGGTCAGCGGCACCAGAGCCAATCATTTTATCGCGATGGCCAACTGGGCGCCTACCTCATACTGCGACTGCAGCATCCAGCCAAACATCGTGAAGCCCAGCCATGACCCATGAACACACAATGCCCGCCTTGTGGTCAATCTCCCCAGTCATATAATGAAGCTAATCACTCCTGCCGCGCAAATATGCTCCCTCCTGCTTGTTTCGCATTTTCAAAGGTGGTAGAACAGCTCTGGTGGGTGGTAACTGGTTTCCTTTTGTCACTCTCTTCTGGTCTCTGCTGCGTCTATTCACGACTCATAATCGAGTATTCCATTGAACCATCCTTTGTCGATCGTTTCAGCACTCCTTCCAGGCACACTGTTCTTTCCCTCTTTCCACTTTTTCTTTCCATCTCCAATCACCCTCTTTGACCACTGCAACCATCGCCTTGTCACGACTCGACTGGCTTCGAAGACAAAGAATTTTGCACATGCCTTCACGAGCATATCTTCTATCTATTTCTTAACGGCTCGGTTTTTTGGTCTCTCTCTTCCGAATTAAAAAATTGTCTGGACTCGAAATTGAAACGGCATCACTTTGACGTCCCGACACCCCACACCTACACATGAACAGCACCAATATGGCTTCACAAGCCCGCCCCGCGCCCCAACGGCAACCAAACGGACGAACCGAGGCTGAGAGAGACGAGTGGGAAGACTGGGAAGATGACGATATTGTCACGCCGATCATGGACGATGAAGAAGACCTCATTGCGAACAAGTCGGCAGCCCCCAGCCCACTCCGACCAAGCAAAGCGCATTCTGCAAGATACTCGCAGCCCAGGCAGTCTGTGCAAAAGCTGCGGCGGCTCAAATCCCGGCACAGGCAGAAGGCCCAGAATGCGAAGGCCGGGATCAAGCTGGTGACCGATATGACAGCGCTGCGACAGCAACAAGCTGCTCAGAACGGCAGTCCCCAGATGCGACACCCCAAATTTGTCGATGCAGCGGCGCTGAGGGCTCTCGAAGGAGAGCCCAACTCGGCATCAGTCGGAAACTGGAACTGGTTGAAGAAGAAACCGTGGGATACCAGCTCGCCATCCTCAAGCACCAAGTCACCGCAGAGCGCTTCTCGCAGCCCTGGTCAGCAACAAGACCTCTCACCAAATGACCGCCCAATCATGATCGGAATCAAACTTCCCGAAGGCACGGAAATCCCACAAACAGCTATTCTCGAGACGGCACCCCAAGACTTTCCGCCCAAGTATGAAAGACAACCTACAACTAGCCCAAACACTGTCACTCCCTTGACTCCTTCACAGCAAAGATCCGTTTGGAGTCCCGACACACCAGATTCGACTGTGTCGTTCAGAGCGCCGCGAGCGACTTCTAGCCTCTACTCGCAAGCGGCTGGCTTGGGCGTCGGGATTCCTCATGACGCGCCTCCAGTGCCGTCCGTGCCCTCAACTTATAGGCAGCAAGAAAGGGTGGTCAGTGTTGTTCTCAAAGACAATGAGGATGACGACGAAGACGGCGGAAGCCCCTGCACGTTGTTCGAGGAAGACGGCGTGGCCGCCAATCGCCGGAAGTCGGTCAAGGCCAAGGAGGTCTCAAAGAGTCCCGGAAGCGCTGAAACCCAGACTCGTGGTTGGTGGGATCATGTTACGACCCCATTCATGGACAGGAAGAGCCCCATCGCTACATTCAAGAGTGAATCACAGCCAGTCAAGCAAACACAGCATGACGACTGGTGGAGTGAAAAGGTGCCAGAGGTTGCGGCACCCAAACCTACATCAATAGAGCCTACCTCCATCGTCAAGACAGTCGAGATTCAGCAAGTTACTGCCCAAAGACCTGGCTTGCCTGCATCGCCGAAGCCGTCGCCAAGGAATATTCAGGCGCCAATCGTCAGAGTTCCTACCCCCAGGAGAACACCATCGCCGCTCATGGACCGTCGCGAACCGTCGCCGGCATCGTCTTCTCGTTCAATCACCCCGAGACCTGAGTTCCAATCGGAAAAAGTGGCCATTGCCCAACCCAGCCCAGCGCCTTCAGAGCTGCCTCCCCCATACTCGCCGCCTGAACAGCAGAAAGCCGTCAGATATAGAGCCGTCTTTCCTGCTGGCCATCCCCTTCAAGCACTCTACCCACCCTCACCAGGCCCCATCTCCCCCGCCATCAACGGAACCATGAGTTCTCAAGGAGGCATCAACCTGACCGACATTCCTCTCACGCCAGCGCGTGCCGATTCTGGTGGACAGAATCGTCTACCCGACCGGGTTGCGGGCACTTATGTACCACAAGAGCACTTTCTCCCAGCCTCCGGACATGCTCACCGCGTAGAGAGACAGCGCCGCCGCCATGAGAAGGAAGAGGTGGTAGCTCGCAAAGCTGGTGGCGCCTGGAAGGGTCGCGGGTGCGTCCCCGCCGGTGGATGCTACGGCCGCAGTGGCCGAGAGGGCCGCAAGAGGAGACGAGTATGGCTGGGTGTGTGCGCTGCAATTTTCGCAATCATCCTGATCATCATCCTCTGCGCGACGCTGATTCCGCGAGGAGGAAGCCCTCCCCAAGTTGACAGCATCTTTGTCAATCTCACCGACTTTCCTCCTATGCCGACTGGAGTTCTCTCCGTGGTTGGCCCTGACAATACCGCCGCCGTTACTGGATGCAGCAGCCCGTCTACAGTATGGAGCTGCGCGCTACCGAAGGAGGAACAAGAGTCTGTAGCACCTTTCCGCCCCAATCAGCCGACGTTCGTCATGCAGATCCAGTGGGATAACAGCACCCGGAATCTGTGGAACGTTCCCAATGGAGAGATACCCGTCCCAGGATCAAAGACTACGAAACGCAACGAGAAGCGAGGCAGCCTGATCGCCAGAGCTGGCGCTTTCATCCGCCGACAAAACCCGGCTTTCAAGCCCAGCCCCAAGGCTCCGACTTTCCAGGAGATGTACTTTCTCGGCAACACAACTGATGGTATTGTCTCGAGCGAAAAGGGTGGCGAACCGACTCCCTTCTTCCTCAGCATCCTCAAGTCTGCAAATGAAACCGTGGGGCCCAACGCCATGGACAAGCGCCAGGACTCGTCCGGCGATATCTCGGTTAACCTTCCTGCCCCCGACCTGGAGGCTGACGGCACCGGAGCTCCCGCGCAGCTCTTCCCTAACGCTGTACAACAGCCTGTTCGTCTCTATGACCGCGGCTTGCCGACAGAACACTACGGCTTTTACACCTACTTCAAGCGCACCATCTATCTCAAGTCCGTAACAACCCTGAACGGTAGTGACGAGACAGACGTGCCACTTGACGAGAACGGCGGCTCTCGCAGAAGCGAAGCCAAGTTTCTCGTGACGTGGTCGCAGACGCGTTTCCTCGTGCAGATCTGGACACGATCGGACAACAACACCCAGCTTCTTGGTACCCGAAACGGGGCCAGCTCGCAGCAGCCTGGCACAATGCCTTACCCCGTCACCATCAAGACGGACACCCACGGCGGCCAGTCGGGCGAGAAGTTTGTCTGGCACTGGCCGGTCAACGACAGGCAAGGCATCGATACCAGCGAGCCAAAGTTGCTTCCCAACGACCTGAGCTTCGGAGGCACCAGAGTGAACCCACGTAAGAACGATGACACATCATTTGGAGGATTTGATGGCGGCACTGGGGGTTGCCGTTGTGAATGGGCGAATTTTATTGCGAAGAGAGATACCAATACTAACTGAAGCGCATAAGTTTATGATGAAGCATGGAAACGGATATGGATATGGATACGGAAATGGGATGGATTCATCATTGAACTACAAGCGAGCATGGGACAGGGATGAATATCAAAATGCATAGTTGCATCTGCATAGTGTGTTAATCAAATATCAACTATAGTTCACATTGAAAAGAAAGGTATCAGTTGAAACATCGCCAATTTTTTCTGTGGTAGAGCGACTACTTTTCTTGTAGTTATATACTCTACCTTGCCGCCGTTGTCATTATCACAACTATCATCGTTGTTGTCGTCGTTATCGCTTCTACTATCTTTACTTCTACTATCGTACTCTGTTGTCGTTCTCTCCACCTTATTGTCGTGTTCGATGAGAGTACTTGAGTACACAGGACGTAGCAGCGTAGACATACGAAACTCGGGCAGTCTCTCATTGAATCGCTCAAATCCTCTTGAACAAGACTTTAAGCTATGCGATTAATCTTTCGCGCCGCGTTTGGTGGATCACAGAGTGACATTTCGAGGTTGGGAAGATACCAGAAGGGGCGAGCTGAAATTAGGTAAGTCGGGAGTCCCCAGCCACCGTGGCGGATCCCAGCGCTGAGCAGTGGGGCCTTGCACCTATCGGCGCCACACTTTCCATCTAATCGCGCGATTGGCGCCAGTCGGAGGGTCCAGGCCGCGATAAGCACGTCGTTCCCCGACTCACGCTAGTGGCTTGGACAGGTGCATGTGCTCAATCAAGGTGCTAAGGCACGGCAAGGTATTGGCAGGTTGGTTGCTCGTGTGCCGTAACCCCTCCAAATATTCCTCGCTTCATCACCAAGATCTTTGCATATCCTGCAGCATTACTTCCCGCCTCATCGCCAACCAGAGCACCAGCTCAGATGCACGCTGCTGTCGCTGGACGCCTCTGCCCAGGTAACGTTGGACCCCACCATGTCGGATATTGACTCTTGTTTCGTCATGCTGACTTATCACCGTCAACAGCCTGACTGCCGATTCAATCCACGACTCGCTCGCGACATCGACTGATTGGCGCAGAAGAGAAGAAAATTTTGAAGCTTGACATCGCGGCGTACCGAATTCCATCGACAACGCAGACACACTTAGCGTTACCGGAGACGATGCAAACATTCTAAGATGGCGAGTCCAGACGGTGGAGCTGCTCCAGCTTCCCTTGACCTTGACGATCACCGCTCGCGCGAAGATGGAGACTCGATATCGGGCAGCTCCCACATAGGGAGTGACGCTTCGGATAATTCTTTAGAACGGGAAGAGTGTCGCTGGCGAACTGCTCGATTTCACGATATGGAGTGCTCTCGCTTCTTCGACTGCCCGACTCACGTCGTCGAGAGGCATCTCTCTGGGGACGAAGACGAAGACGAAGATAGCAATGCAGGAGAGGGGCCGTCACGGCAGCTTCAGACGATCAGCGACAGAGCCGAAAGCTCTTCAAGCACCAGTCAGGAGCCACGAGTAGCGATCTCTACCGTGACGGCAGGTTCTCCTGAGCGGGACCCAACAAGCTTTGCGCCCGGGCCTGAGGAGACCAATACGGAGCAAACGCCGGAGCCAGCAGAGGCAGCACGGGCAACTTCAGCACAGGAGATCGAAGAATCTGAAGAGTCTCAGGATCCCGAAGAACCCGCGCCAGCACCACCTACACCACTGAGCTCGCGGCTGTCTGAATCCTCTGTTCATTCTCAACCTCTCCCACCAACAGCCACGCCTACTCAACCCACCGGAGAGTTCGTCCCGCCGCAGAGGACTTCAAGTCTGGTCACATCCCAAGCTGCAGCTGCATCAGCGCAAGAACTACCTCTTCGCCCAGCTTTGATACCTCGCCGATCGCAAGAAGCGCCTCCTCCGCCGCCCAGGAGGTCGAGTTCCTCGTTTGCTCCCTTGCCTGTGCCACGCAACCAACAATCGCCTGAGGAACGACGAGGCCCTCCGGAGATCAACTTGCCACGGTGGCAGCCAGACGCTGAAGTAACCTACTGTCCTATTTGCCACACGCAATTTAGTATATTCGTTAGGAAACATCATTGCAGGTAAGTTTGCTTGGCGCATGTGTCAACGCGACTCATGTTCTGACAGTGCTCAGGAAATGTGGCAGAGTTGTTTGCAATTCTTGCTCGCCTCACAGGATCACCATCCCTTACCAGTACATCGTACAGCCCCCAGGTCAACCACGCCTGGCCGCTCAGAGATACCCGTCGTCCCTCATCAGTGGTGAGGGAGGATATGCCGATTTCAGCAGTCTAGGGGGCGGAGAGCGCGTTCGTCTATGCAACCCATGCGTCCCTGACCCGAATACCACGCCTCCACAACCGCTTGACTCGCCCTCGCAATTATCACCTCGAGGATCTCATTACAGGTCGCAGAGCAGCATCAGCACGATGTCCAGCAACGCACCGCCGCCTAGCAGGTTCTCGGGCTACTTCACGGCAAGCCCTTCCCAGGACGCCTATGCAAGATCTAGGAGCATCACGGTAAGCAAAGCATAGAGCATTGACGCCAACTAAGTAGCTGACAGACGTAGCATTCCGGTCCGGGTGGGCCTTCAAGCTCTCGCGGACATTACCACTCCACTCAAAACCGGATCATGGCCGGGACACCTCCCACGTACTACCCTTCCTCATCGGCGGTCTATCCGGGCTCATCCCGTTACCGGTCCATGCTGGATGTCGGGCCCTCGTCGTCGTCGTCGTCGGCCGCACAGAACCGCGCTTTGCCCCCGCCACCGCAGATCGCCGAGGAGGACGAGTGCCCCGTCTGTCACCGAGAGCTGCCCTCACGCACCTTGTCGAATTTTGAACACTTACGTGAGAAGCACATCAATACTTGCATCACCTCGCACAGCACATACGGCGGCACGCCAACAGGCGAAACACCGCCATCCGGTACCCCGCCGCCTCTAGCCGCGCGCCGGACGGGAATGTTCCCATATGTTGCTACGGAGAAGGATTGCGTAGACTCTGCGGAATGCACCATCTGCCTCGAAGAGTTCGAGGTTGGTATCCCTATGGCGCGGTTGGAGTGCTTGTGCCGTTTCCATCGGTCTTGCATTTCGGCCTGGTTCGTCAATCACCCTGGACGCTGTCCCGTTCACCAGCATGATAGTTTTGGCTATTGATACCTCGGGTTGCCTACTTGTTTCCCATTGTCTCTCGTCCACATTCCGGCGTTTCGGTTAGCATAGGGCCCCCTCTTTAACCCAGTCCATCCTTTGGAAGACATTCCTTTTGGTATTGTACGCAGCGAACAATGTGGTCGGTCTCCTCTTTTCCCCCCTCTCTATATCTCCTACCCAACTCCTCTCTTTCGTGCGGTGCCGCTTGAGATGGGATATTCCCCGATGTGACATACCAAATGAGGGGTGTTTCGGCTCTTGCTTGGAGGTGGATATATGCCATGCACGTGTCGTCATCAAATGTGGGCATCTTTCACACTACGCGATTTGGCTGTTATTGTTCTGGACTCTGGCCTATTGATGGCGTAGGGTTGCATCAGGGTATACTTTTTCAGTAGATACTGCTGAGCGAAGAGGGGTCGCAGAGACACAGCTTTTGTTGATCGTCACACACAAACACACCCAAAAACGCAGAGGACTCTCGCTCTTTCTTTCTCCTTTCCAGCTTGACGGAAATACCATGCACTCAGATAGATAGATATTTTGGAGCTCACAATGCCACTTACGGCGAGATACCCGCCCAAAGCTGTCTTACCCACGGTTTCACCTTGAGCAAGGAGGCGCAATTCGTGGAGAAGCGTGTAACGTGACTTATAGTGACGTCGAAAGGAGGCGTGTCGGCTCATGTCACCGGCGCTCCCTGCGCCGCTCGCGCCGAGGACGGCGACCCGTTGTCCTGCCGTCTACGGTCTTGTCAGCGTCGTCTTCTCCCTCGACGACTCTTCGAACCTTCTCAAGTTATTCTGCCCACCACAAGGGGCCTAGAACGTCCGGCAAGGTCGGGCCAGTCGGCGCGGGTGGGGCACGGAGTGGATATCAAGGGTGGAGCTGGGGGACTCGCGCCAGGGATTCACGATGCACCTGGCCCCGACCCCTGGATGTTCTCGAACCCGTTCCATCCTTCTGCTGTTGGCATGCGCGGTGCCTATTGGCGAATGTGAGAGGCTTTCGCAGGCAGGATGTGCGGCACGGCAGGAGGAGGAAGAGGAGCAGAAGTTCCTCATCTCATCTGCCCTTCATCCACCGGAGCGCATTTGATGAACTCTTTTTTTTTCCTCATTTAATTGCACACTGGCTTGCGGTGATTATTTGCCTGCGGCCGAGTCGGACAACTCAGTCGGACTTCATCTCTCAGGCCAGGGGTAGACGCTGTTGCGTGTATCCGTACGCGCGCGACAGGCGGAAAATGAGCTGCTGCAAGGCCAGAGTGATTGGACGAACCGGCGAAACTTTCTGTGATGAGTGTAAATAAGTAATGGAAACGTTTACGTTTCTCCCGCAGTCCTTTCCCGCTCCCGCCTGCTGCCCCCAAAAGGTGGCACGAGCGCCCCCCCTAATAGGTTCATCGGATTATTGTCAATATGCAGAAAGAAAGAAGCAAATGGGGGGCCGATCCGGCTGTTTGGGGTAGAGGAAGGAGGCCTATATCGACGTCGGGATATGGTACGCGCTGTGCATGATGTTAAGCAGTCAGAGACGGGATGTCGCAGCGCGGGCGGCTTCAGCCCTAGGTCGGTGTCACCACCACCCCTCCTGTCTTTCTCCCCTCCTCCCAATGGGTATTCGAGCTGTCATCGGAGGCAATCCTGTGGGCGCCCGATATTGTTTTTCTGGACCTTGGTTTTAATGTTTCCCTCTTGTCGACGTTTGTTTGGTGAGCCAATGTCAATCCTCCCCGCCGTAGACCCGTTTCACACCCCCGTCCAATTTAGATGACGATGGAGCCACGCTCTCGCCACGAGCCAGCAGGCATGCCTGGAAACGGCACCACGGCGCCGGGGAGAGACACCCGCAGAGGGCAGAAATTTGCG